TACCTTTGAAGTTTCAAATCACTCATATTTCAAGCAAATACAAATCGAGAAAACGGAGAACACACACACTCACACACACACACACACACACACACACACACACACACACACACACACACACACACACACACACACATTATATATATATTTTTTTAAACTAGTGAGAGGGCTGTGCCTGTAGTTCAGCTACCAGTCTTGAAAACCTCGGAGAAGTCTTGGATAAAGCAAGGCGCATATATCTCAGCAACATCCAGCTTGTTCCTTGCTTTTGTCTTGAGTTGGACGAGGGTAGAAAATCCACTTTCGTAAATTTAAGTCGAGCTTAATGGGACAATCGAAGTGCTGTTTTGTTGACCTGAGATTATGACTCCTGGATTGAACACCAAAAAACTTTGAAAGAGATTTGTCCAGAAACGTGTCGCGAGCTGACGAATAATGTCTCAATTCCAAAAGCTTACCTTGAATGTCATCTGCAATGACAGTGATGTCTAGTCCAGGAGTGAAAGGATTTCTCACAAAAGCTTCTTCACCAGAGTCAAGATCAGAAAAATAGTTCTTGAACTCATCTTCAAGTGATTTCAAATGTGCAGCAATATCAACTTGAAGATCAGAAGACAAGGTCGCCTCTAAAAGTTGGCAAACATACAGTGGAACTCGGATTCAACGAGGTCGCCGGGCCTGACCTAAAATCTCGTTGAATCAGAGTGTTCGTTATAGCAAACACGAGGTTCTGTGTAGATAATTACAGGCACTGAGCAAGTAATGTATAAAGAGAAGTCACAAGTAGTGCCCGAAATGCCTGCATATTATGAGCTGTGTAAAAAAAACCCAAGACCGATTCGTTCAAATGCACTCCTGTGCTATCTCGATTATTTGCCAACAAAAAGCTGTGTTGATGTGTAGAGTCTAGCATAACGGCAACGTTTGATTCCGTAGACCATCGCACAATTCATTACGAAGATCTACGTCAAGCTAGCTTATCATTGTAATACAATGTAATGATCAGTTGCCGAGGGGATAAAAGACTGTGACGTGTTTGTATCTGCAACGTTCAACGCCCGGACCGCTAGCGCTCCCCCCCCCCCTCCCCGACGCACACACACACAGTCACACGTGTGCCGCCCATCTGACCCCGACACACGCCAGAGTAGACTCGTGCACGAGCCAGCAACACATGTGTTCGTATGAAAAAAGGCCGCTGATTGGTCGCATGCAACCGACTAAGTGAATAATGGTTCACGATGCAGTTGCAATGGAAGGTTTCCGGGAATAGATAAATTTGGTTCTGGGAGAAAAATGAGCGAAGCCACACCT